CTCTTCTTGCTATCCTTGCCTCCACTGCTGTTGTTTGGGCTCTTCCAGTACTTGGTGATTCTAATGGACTCCTCAACGGTCTTACTGGAAAGCTCCATGGTGTTGTTGGTAAAGCACCCCTTGTGAGTTGAATAACCGGGCACTACGACAATTTTTGTGAATTTCAGAATATTAATAAACTTGACGATATATTTCAACAACTTCTAAACCTGCTTGAAGGAATCAAACGCAGACTTAACATTCTTGAAATCAGAATTCCAGAAATTAATGATGTTAACGGTATTGTTGACGGTGCTTCTGCCATGATCCCGGAACCTGTTTCCGGTGTGGTCGATACGGTACAAAACACCGCTTCAGGTGTTGTTGATACCGCTGCAGGCGTGGTCCCAGGACCTGTGTCCGATGCGCTGAATGAGGTCAAAGACGCTGCTGTAAATATTGGAAATGATGCTGTGAACATGATCCCACACCCTTCAGTGGTCGATGAGGCTCTAAACGCTGCTTCTGATCCTGTTAATACTATTGTCGATGCTGCCAACAATTAAATATACCTTTTTCCTGTTGTAAATCATTTTTGGTAAATGAATAATCGAACATTGCAACACTTTCTTTGAGCCAAAATACTTGAAATTCATGAAAATTTTTTATTGGTATCTTGGTTTGAAAAAGCAAAGGTTTTCTCACTGTCTTCGTCTCCACTACTGCCTATTATAGCCCTGCATTCCAAAAATGAAAATTGAGGTCTCTGAAGTGTATGGTTCTAACATGCAACAGTTATTTCAGTTTTTACTGTTTAAGTATTAAAGAAGGCAAGACATTTTTCGATACAATTTTCTAGATATTTTGCCCAGAGAACCATAGTTGCAAACGGGCCGGCCCGGGCAGATGGCGGGCAGGCAGATAACTCGGTTTCAGATCAAGATATTTGGACGAATTTGATATCAAATGATAGATCTCGACGAGGTCCATCTTAGCTTTATTCGTCAAAATGAATATGATGTTCTGAAGCCGAGTTATCTGCCGTCCCGCCATCTCCCCGGGCCGGCCCGTTTGTAACTATGCAGAGCACCCCTCCCCCCCCCCCCCCGAAGAGTTGAGCTTAAGAGAAAAAGTTCAAGAGTACAACGCCGCTATCCAGATGAGCTACGCGGTCGCGATGCCCTTACCGATGGCCTACATGAGCTCGGCGCGATTTCGTTCCCCAAACTGTATTTTGCTCCTCCCACCTCCTTCAAAGAATGGGAAGCTTCATATTAGGATACAAGTGGCATAATTTAGAGCCAAATATTATTCTGAAACTTAGACTGAAAGTTAAAAAATATTATTCTGAAACTTAGACTGAAAGTATTCAAGCAATAGAAGTCTGGAGATAACTTTTTCATGTTAGAACCATATTCTCCAGGAACCCCTCCCCCTGACACTTTTCCAGTAGCGAGGCATAACTGGTCAACCAGAGGAAGATCAGAAGCATGGAAGACGAGGGCAATGAGCCTCGCTTACGACTTATACGACTCCAGGAGAGCGACTACATCAGAATAAAAGTCTACGACTACTTTTTGAATATTCCCTATTTCAGTGGAGGCGAAAAAGATCATTATGGAAACGTCGATCACATAAGAATCAACAATAACGATCTTCACAGATAATGCAATTTCAACTATCGATTACTCAAGTACTACTATGATGTTGGAAGCCAGAAAAATTATACTTCCGACGCTTTGCTCATTTGAAAATCGTTTTGGAACCTAGACTTCAATAAAACTTTCATCACGAATTTCAAGTATTTTGATTCCAAGAAGTTGTGCAATGTTCGATTATTTATTTACCAAAACTGATTTAAAACAGAAAACGGGACATTTAGTCACTGGTTGCATCTGAAGCAGCATCGACAATAGTATTAACAGGATCAGAGGCAGTGTTTAGAGCCTCATTGACAATTCCAGTAGGGATCATTTTTGAAGCAGTATCAACAACACCAGAAGCAGCGTTTTGGGCGGCTTCGATAGCACCGGATACAGGTCCTGGGATAGCACCTGAAGCAGTATCAACAACATTTGAAGCAGCACCAGAAGCAGTTTCTTTGACATTTTCAAGTTGTCCCAGAATTTGACCAAGCAACTTGTCAAGATCAATCAACTCGGCAATATTAAGATTCCCCTGAAACTTGTGAAAATCATACAAGCATATAGTTATTCAACTCACAAGTGTTGTGTTCCCAAGAGCACCGTTGAGTTTTCCAGTAAGACCGTTGAGGAGTCCGTTAGAATCACCAAGCACTGGAAGAGCCCAAACGACAGCAGTGGAGGCAAGGATAGCAAGAAGAGCTTTGTAGAAGAGCATTCTGGAAAAGGGAAAGTATCGAAATAGAAGAGAAGGGAACTGATGACTTTCGGCTTATTTGAGCTACCATTTTATACGAATTTCGATGTTTTTGATGGCCGATGAGGTAGTTGAAAACCTTCCATTCAATCTTTTCATGATATGTTTTTACTTCCTACAATAATATTATTCCGAATTCCAGGATTCATTCGAGGATTCATGATCTACCAATTCAATGCGGAAACATATCATGTCACACCAGGAACTGCAATTTTTTTTTCGTTACGTTTCCAAAATTTGCATGTCACCGAACACTTGGTAGATCAGGAATCCTGGAATGGATCGAATTCGGAATAATATTAAATTCGGGAGTAAAAACATATCATGAAAAGATTGAATGGAACGTTTTCAACTAACTCTTCGTATAAACCTTCGAGAATTTTTATTCCAGCGACACCAATTGAAATTGGATTTTCTTGTCGTGCAAAGTTTCTCTTTCGTTCTGGAAGGCACTGAAATTGGTGTCATGGAGATTTCGAAAGTTGGATCTCGGAATTCTTTTGTTGTACTAGTGGTCCTTCAAAAAGGCTGATCCGGGTGGTCCTTCTGCCAGGTTGAAGATTCGGAAATAGGAATTGTGGTTTCCAACCTACTAGTGGTGCTCGTATGATCTATTGGTGAGATTCCTGATGTTGTGGGCGGTGTAGTAGGCTCCACACTAGTAGAAGTTGATTCTTCGGAGGTCAACGGTTCCATAGCAGACATGGGCGGAATAAAAATTTTGAAAATCCGGAATAAGGAATAAGGAAGAAGGAATGAAATTTAAAAATCAGGAATAAGGACTAAGGAATAAGGAATAACAATTTTAAAATCCGGAATAAGGAATAAGGAATAAGGAATAAGGAAGGAAAGAATTTCCGAACGAAGGAAGATTTCTTTTTGTCTTGAAAAACACTGTTTATTTTAAAACACGAACAACGAAGAGAGAACTCACAAACCGAGACACAAACAAGAAAAATGAAGAGGGAACTCTCTCAAACTAGAATTAAAAAACTAAAAAACAAAATCATAATTGTGAATTATCAGTTGTCCAGGCCATAATTTTTCAAATTGAGTGAACAAAAAGTTAATTTGTCAACAGTGCCGTTATTCAATCGGCTTCTTTTCGGGGTAAAGATGATGCTCGACTCTGGTAATCGGTTTGTAACCAGTTTCGGGCAATTTTCCAACCAGATTCGAGTAAAATTCCAACCAGATTCGGAAAGTTTTTATTTTCCGACCAGATCCGGTGATTTTCTGACCAGATCCGACCGAGAAAGCTAATTTTCCAACCTGATTCGGACAATTTTCTTACCAGATCTAGCCATTTCTGCTGCGGAATTTTCCCGAATCTGGTTGGAAACCGATTACCAGAGAATACACTCGTTTTCTGTTCTGACGAAGCATTCGTCAAACTTTCTCCGTTTTTTAGACATTTTTTCTGAGGTATTTAGTAATTGTAAAAACCAAATTTATTTCGAAAAAAACACTGAGAAAAACGCATAACTTTTCCAAGATTTCCAAAAAAAAAAAATTTTCGAAAATCGTTTTTGCAAAGGTGCTCCGTTGAGCAAAATTTTACGCGGCAATTTAGAGCGTTCAAATTTTTCTCCCAGTTTTGAGATTTTTTTCTGATTTTTGATAGAAAAATTTTTTAATTTTTGAAGAGGAATAACAAAAAAAATCAGGAATAAGGAATAAGGAATAACAATTTAAAAATCAGGAATAAGGAATGAAAAATTTAAAATCCGGAATAAGGAATAGAAAAAACACCCGGAATAAGGAATAAGGAATAAGGAATAAGGAATTCCGCTCATGTCTGTTCCATAGGGATGTTTATCACCTCCACCGAAATAAAGGATGTCCAAGAGCTATCTGTAGTTGACTGGATTCCGGAAGTTATAATCGATTCAATAGTAGTGGAAGACGTAGAAATTACTGGTTCTCCTGGCGTCGTAGAAGTGGTTAAAACTTCTGAAGAAGACGTGGACGTTGACATTTCCTTAGTGGTAGTCCCATAAGGTGTTGTTGGCTCCATAGTGGTTGAAATAGATTTAGTGGTATATTCCACGCTTGATGTATTAGTCATGGTAGAATCTGTGGATTCACTTAACGTCGGTGACGTGGAAGCAGTGGTCCCAGCCGAGGTGGACTCCATTGGTACCATGGTAGAAGTAGTGGACTCCATAGGTGCCAGTGTAGATGTAGTGGACTCCATTGGTACCATTGTAACAGTAGTGGACCCCATGGTTACCATGGTAAAAGTAGTGGACTCTATTGGTACCATGGAAGAAGTAGTGGACTCCATTGGTGCCATTGTAGAAATAGTTGGCTCTAAAGTAGTGATAAATGTTGTAGCTGTTGTCATGGACGCTGATGTTGTAGTAGACGTCGTAGTCGTAGGACTTGTAGTGGTGGTTCTACATGCCTCCTTCTCCTCCAGCAGCATCGCCAACACGATTTTCGGCGACGTCCACAACATCTACATGTTCTAAGTCCTCCATTAAAGCAGCAAGATCTTTGACATAATCCACGATGAGATCCTTGACAGCCACAGCTATTCGAACAGCATCCTCCTTGCCATATTCCACATCTAGATCCGATATCTTTTGATATCTTGAATATTTGATATCAATTTCTAAAGTGATATATATGTGTTAGCTCCCCGTCCCTTTTTGATATCTTGCATTCTTTATGTCAATTTTTATAGCGCTAGGTATGTTCTATCATCCCCGTCCCCTTTTGAGTTTGTAAAAGAAAATTAAAAAATCCAATAAAGAGCAAAAACATGCTTTTCAGTCATCTGAAAATTTTATTACATTTTTTTAAACCAGGAAATTCGATATTTGCAAATTCCTAGAATTTGGAGAATACAAAATTAGAGGGAAAAAAAGCGAAATCCAAAACCGAAAATACACCAATTTTTGTGTCATCTGAAAAAAAAAAATATCTGAAATTATTCATAAAAAAGCAACGGTTAAGTTTCAGAAAAAAGGAATATCGATATAATAGCGGAAAAACACAAGAAGAACAATAACGTTCCCAGCAGTAAAAGTAGATCAAAACCTTCACAAACAAAAAACAACTTTTTTGGTTGACTATACTAATCTAAACAAAGGAAACATATATTTTCAATATGTCATATTATGTCACCTTTGGTGAGAAAGAATAAGAGATTTAGTCTAAAAAAACTATAGTTAGTCTCCTGCATTTCTAATGTTAATCAGAATTCATAAGTTGTTCTCTTTTCATGTATTGTTAATGATATTCCTTAAACCTCTCTTAATTATACGGTGCTGTGGCACCGGAATTGCTATAAATAGAGGCCCGGTTTTTACTCATTTATCTCTTATATCTCTCTATTATTATCACTTTTATCCCTCTCTCTTATCACTGTGTCTTAATAAATTTATCTAAAGAAAGTCTTTTTCTTTATATATTATTTCAATGTTTCTTGAATACCTATTTTTTACAACCGATAGTAAAAATTGAAGTTTGAATTCTGTAATCTATCAGAGCTATTTTTATTTATCGGTCACCGGTTTTATTTGAATCTAATTCAAACGGCATACCGTAAACTCAGTAATACATGGGCCCTCCTCCTAAATTTTAACTTTGATCTCAATTATCTTGATTCCTGTTGGGTATATCGAAAAATGGTCAACTGATAAGTTGTTTATCATAATATTACAAACATTTAATTAGTCGACACATTTTTGATATCTCTCATAGGAACCGAGATAAATGAGCTAAAAATTTATAAGTGATTCTACAACCACTCATTATTTATATGATGTCATTTCTTTTCTTTTCCCAATACTGACCATAAAACCTGAAAATTATAACATTGTTTTATCACCATTTTTGAGCATTGTCTTTGATAATTTATTTAAAAGCTCCTCTCTGAAAAAAACTATTTTATATTTCCAAATAGTTTCCTTCCTTCTAAACAAATATTCAGTCTCGTTCTACTCCAGAAATCCTTTCTTTTCTATTATAACTTATAATTTCGTATTGATAAGACACCAGAGCCATAAAACTATTCTAAACCCATAAAACTATTCGTTTGAATTCGAATTCATCATTTGTTTATTTTAGCATATTTCAGTTTGGTAGTGCACTAAACTCTTATTCGGCGCTATCCTAGTTGAGGGGTGCCACTCAATTTTTTGATTTTTACGAGATTTTTTTTACAATTTTTGCGTTTGCACTAGGATACCCCTCAACTAGGATAGCACCTTCTATTTTGATTTTTTTTCTTTAAACTTTGAGATCGTCCGAATGTTTCATTCATACTTAAAACGATTTTTCAAAAAGGTCTGTAAAATGGAAATTTCAGCAAATCAAAAAACGATTTCTGGAAATCTTCCAAGTTATGAGAATCATACTAATTATACGGAAATGGAGACACGAATCAGGTTTCATCGCCTATGCTTCAGTATTTTTATATCTCCTATTCATTATTTTATTCACAAGTTCAAATGATTCAATTAAAATTGGTAATTCTATCACCTAGATCCCAATTCCATTAAAAAAAAACATTTCAGAGAGCTCCTTCAAAAATGTAGATACAACTAGGAATGGGAAGGAAGTGTGTGCTTTGCCAATCTATGATTTTTGGCATGAAAGTGTTAAACCGCTTTTGAAGGGCCATAACCCTATGAAAAATTGTGATAAAACGTTTCGAAAATGGACGGAATTGGAGAATGGAGAATGGAGGATAGTTAAAGAGGGTGCAAATTGTTCAGCGAGGTAAGTTAGGTACATTTGCACAAGTGAATTTATTCTGAAATTTTGAATTTTTAAAAACCGAAAAAGTATTCCAGAATTGATTTTCCAAAGGTGGTAAAAGTGATCTAGTTCTTCGAATTTTTAGATTTTTATAAAATTGGCAAAACATTCCGAAATTGATTTTTCAAAAATTTCTGAAAAATAGAAACATACCACAAAAGTGATTTTTTTCAAATTAAAAAAAAAGGGAAAAAATATCTATGTAAACTATGTATTTTTGAACATTAAATAATTTGAAGATCCCAAAAAAAATCTTCTAGGTGTTTTGAAGGAATTGGCGCTAAGAAAGAGGTTGTATTCCAAGAATGGATGAAACCTGGGAAAACCAATTGCGAATTCATTGAAGCCGTTTGTTGGGAGAATAATACAGAAGCCTATGGATACACACATTCACAAATTATACCGAGGCAAGTTCTGGGACTTTGGAATTATAGAAAAATATACAAAATTCCAATTTCCAGAACCCCAAAACCTCCAGAAACAAAGTTCCCCTCTCCTCCAAATGTTCTTGTCTTCACAATCGACTCTCTGAATACTGGAATGGCCAAGAGGTCTCTTCCGAAATTCCTTCCATATTTTCAATCCAAATTCTCTGGAATAGAGTTTCCATTTGTGAATAAAGTTGGTGAGAATAGTCAGCCTAATGGGTTCCCACTTTGGTTTGGGAAACGGATAGAGGGCGGACGAACGGTGGCTTGGGAAGAGTTGAAGCCAGATTGGAATGAAACTGAGTATTGTGAGAGGTTTTTGGATAACGAGACACACATTTTTAAGGAGTTCAAGCAACATGGATATGCAGTGAGTTAAGGTTACCGTATAGAAGACTCCCCCCCCCCCCCCCCCCAGTCTCAGATTCTCAGATTCCCAATTCATTGCTCATAACTATATTGATGGTCCGGCTAGGGCAGATCAGTATCTTGTAGACTATTTCGAGAGGAATCATCAAATTCTGGATGACTCATTTGTCCTTTTTGTAGCCGATCATGGTCTCCGATTCGGATATGGAAACTACTTTACAACAGAAATTGGATCTTTTGAAAGGCATAATCCATATCTAGCAATATCAGTGCCCAAGAAATATCGGGGTTCTGAAACTGGACTACTGGATATTCTTAAGAGGAATTCACAGCAGTTACAGACTCATTTTGATACAAGAGCAACGCTGCTGGATATTTTGAAGGTAAAGAGTTTTGACGGGGATTGGAACTTTTAGAACAGAGAGAAATTTTTCAGTTCCAACCAATGTTCAACTTCACGGATCGTGAGCATATCAAAATTCAAAATGAAATTGGAGATTCGTTGATTCGTAAACAACCCGATGAGCCAAGAACATGTGCAACACTTCCGATTCCACAGCAGTACTGTATTTGTCAAGTTCAAAAATTTGAGATTCGGAAGTAAACAGTTTTTACGGAAAATTTAAAATTTTGGAACTTAAAAAAGTCTAGAAAGTCTAGAATTAAATCACATGTTGAAGTTTTTTTTTGCAAAAAAAACTACCGCCAACTTTGACTTTATATATCCCATTAGGTAAAAGATACCGAAAAGGTGTAAACTGATGAAATGTTTGTGATATTATGATAAACTTTTTATCAGTTGATTACTTTTTGATATCTTTGACTGGAACCAAGATAAATTCACTCGAAGTTGACGGTTTGGGTAGCCTTTTTAAGAGTGCCTTCAGTGATTTTAAAAGCTTCCGGGGGTTATTGTAGCTACAGAAGTACGCAAACATCCCTAGATTGCGTTTTCAACTAATTCCAGAACGAGAAACTCGATTTTGATAATGAAAAATGACGAGAATTTCGTTTTAAACTAGAAAATTGAATTTTTATCTTTCAGTAAAATTCTGCAACGCAATCTTGGCAAAAAACTTGTAGATCATGTACGTTATCTATTGGCCAAATCAAATGTATCCCAACTTTGCGAACAGTATGATTTAGAAGAGGTATGTTCCCTTTTTTTACCATAAAACCTGTAATAGAAGGGCCACCTAACTATCTGCTTTGGCTCAAAATCTTTGAGCCAATTTATCTCGGTTCCTACAAAAGATATGAAAAGTTGTCAACGAATAAATTGTTTATCATTATATCAGGAACATTTTATCAGTTGACATATTTCTGATATCTTTTACAGGAACCGAGCTAATTGAGCTCAAAGTTAACAGGTTCTTTTCACATTCAAAACTGTATTTCCAGGTCACAAGCTCATCGAATATGATTACACCAAATCCTGGAACACCTACAAAATCTCAGCGAAAACCACATTTTCTGCGCATTTTGAAACTTTAATGGTTTATAATGAGAATGATGGAAGTGTCAATTTCGGGAAGGTGGTTCGATTGGATACCTATGGAAGTACGGCGGATTGTACGAAGAAAGTGAAATTTCAAGCATTGTGTCATTGTAAAAAGTGACGGGTTTTAAATTATTTGTTGGTTGTTATGTTATTCTAGGATTTATTAAAAATATGGGTTGCTGAAATAAACTATTCGATCTGAATCTTTGAAAAGTTGCGAATAAACATAAAAACGTACTGAATTTTTAAAAGAAACCAAGACGACCCGCCCACTTTGAGACAATTTATTTCGGTTTCTGTAAAGGATATCGAAAAGTTATCAATTGAAAAAATGTTTATCATAATATCACTAAAGTTTTATCAATTGACAGATTTTTGATCTCTCTCATAGGAATCAAGATAATGTAGCTTGAAGTTGACGGTCTGGGGAGCTCTATTCAAGTGTGTGCGACCATAGGTGGCAACATTGAAGGCCTCAACTTTGAGCTTAATTATCTCGATTCCTGTGAAAGATTTGAAAAAGTTGTCAACTAATAAATTGTTTATCATGATATCACCAGCATTTTATTAATTAACGAAATTTTGATACCTTTCACAGGAACCGAGATAATTGAGCTCAAAGTTGAAGGGTTCTTAGAGGAATTATGGTATACACCAGGAAGCTGAAAATCACTTTTTATATGAATTTTTTTCAGAAATTTGACCAGCATTCTCAAAACATTCTCTTTTTATGTATATGCTGGTATATATTTTGTATTTCAATCTGATCAAAGAAAAGGGGGGAACAATGAACGAACTGCACAAACAAAGATGGGAATACATGGTTCTCACACAATATGTGTTAGGTGTTAGCACATGAAAATCATAGAAAAGTATTCGTGGTTTTCCTGGAAGAAAACTAGCCTTGACCTATTAGATTGGCTACTATACCCTTTTGTTTTTCATCGTTTCTCTTAACTGAGCTACTAACAATAACATGTATGTAAGATAAGGTTGTTGACCATGACAATCTTTTTTTTTAATTTCTTCAAATTTCTGAATTTTACACTTTCAAGGTTTAACAACTCCCAAACTTTTGAAATTTTAAGTTCCTGAATCTTTGGAGTTTTTGGAATGAGTTTTTGGAATTTTCTGAATTTCTGAATTTCTGAATTTCTGAATTTCTAAATTTCTGAATTTCTGAATTTCTGAATTTCTGAATTTCTGAATTTCTGAATTTCTGAATTTCTGAATTTCTGAATTTCTGAATTTCTGAATTTCTGAATTTCTGAATTTCTGAATTTCTGAATTTCTGAATTTCTGAATTTCTGAATTTCTGAATTTCTGAATTTCTGAATTTCTGAATTTCTGAATTTCTGAATTTCTGAATTTCTGAATTTCTGAATTTCTGAATTTCTGAATTTCTGAATTTCTGAATTTCTGAATTTCCGAATTTCTGAATTTCTAAATTTCTGGGTTCAGCCCCAGAAGGGCGTTGACCGACTAGCCTGATGATCATTTCCTGACTGATTTCCTGATCTTTCTTTTAAAAATCAAGATAAGACCGAACTGATAGTGGTATTTTTCTTTTAAGCCCATATATCTCATTTTCTGTAAAATATATCAAAAAACTTTAAACTGATGAATTATTTATCATAAAGTGATAAACATGTTGTCAGCTGATCAATTTTTGATATCTTTCACAGAAACAGAGATAATTAAGCTCAAACTTGAAAGTCATTCTATTAAAAGTGTCACGGTAGATTGAAGTGGCCCTCTGAGTGCCGAAGACTCCCCAGTCAGGCAAGTTTTAGTAAAATTTGCGGCAAAAAACGTGAAAGAAAAAGAAAATTTTATTATGATCGTGACCGTAACTTATGAACCGCGCAACTGACGTGGCTTTGCTGTCCTCTGAATTGCTGGAATTCTCGGCACATGAAAATTGGACCCGCGGCAAAACCGGAGTAGTGCAGTTTTTTGTTCAGCGGAACACAATGGTAATTTTTTTCAAGAATTCGTTCAGTTTAACACGTATAAAAATTGATTTATATATTTATTAGAAATTCGATTCTATTTTCAATTCGATAACTTCTTCAGAACTTTTTTAGAAGTTTTGAGAATCTAGGTCAACGTTTAAAACAATTTCTCATGGTTTTCCAATTAACAACATTTCGAATCTGAACACCGTTTTCTCTTTTCTTCTAATTGTTGTTTTTTCTATTTACATCATCTGGGAAGGAAAAATAAGATAATGGGCCTTTATACTTTCGTTTTTCAGTTGACATATTTTCCTATTTTGATGTGTTATTGTAGTGTGTGACGTCGAAAAAGCTCCACATTGTCATTTCAAATGTTTAAGGCCATTTTGGGAAATTGTAAACACCCTGTCAAAGAGATATACAACAAAAAGTTTCAGTTGAATTTTTGATCATTTTCCAAGGGTCTAGAGCTCCACTGTCAAGTTTCCGATCACTTTGAAAACGTTGGAGGGTATAAAACAGACCTAGATTAAAAACTTTGCATTTTCAGAAGTTTTTGAAAAGTCTTAATTTTTCAGATAGTTGTTGATTTTTAAAAGGCACTTATTTTTCACGCTTTCATGTCCAAAACGGGCCAATAGCGGCCGAATAGCGTGCCAAGAGGGTCATTAAAGGGTGGGCAAATATCTGAGAAACCAGTTATTTTCGAAAAATTCTGTAAGTGCGAAATTTTGAATATATAACTGTTTTTTACCCTCCTAAATTGTCAAAGTGATCGGAAACTTGACAGCCGATCTTCAAACTTCTGAAAATGAAAAAAATGACCAAAAATCAACTGAAATATATTTGTAGCTCAAAATTTTGAAATCTCTAGTTTCTCGCCCCACTTTTAGTTTTCATTTATATATCTCTGTTTTCTGAATTGATCCTTGATGAGCCCTTTTTATATTTGCTCATCTGTTTCTTTTTCACTCCTACAGTGATTTTCCCATCTAATGGTTTGATTTCTATAAAAATCCTCCCTTTATTTGTCTTTCATTTCGACCAAAACATCTGTTCCTAATGATCTTTTCAGTTTGGTGTCAAGATCAAGTTTCGTTTCCAGAAAAAATTCAGATCTCAAAGTCCAAATATTCTAAATTTTCAGACCAAAATGGCCAATCAAGTTGTAATTCTAGCGGTTGTTGTGATAGTAACTCTTGTAAACTTCATGATGTGGAGTGGAACTAATTATGGGAGCAGTAAGTGGAATATTCTGAATCCAAAAATGTTGATTTATCGATTTTCAGACGTTTCCTCTTCTGCTCGATTGAATTCGATTCCTTCTGTGATCTCATTTGCTAATCTCTCTAAAAGAAGTCTCACTGAAATTGAAAACAATATGCAGGAGATAAAACAAAAGCTGGAATCGGAAATGGACATTTTGAAGGCGTTGAAACTTGGACAACAAGGACCAGGAGAGAGTTTCGAGGCGCATTTTGAGGTATTTTTGAAATTCCAACATCATTTCCTAAAAAAGGAATTTTCCAGAAAATGAAAAACTTCTCCATTAGCCAAGTGGCTCTCCGAAAGCGAACTTTAGCTTCTATTTATAACAAAGAGCAGTACTGGCTACTGTATGGAGCACTGGGTCCTGAAGTTTTTTGTCCGGAAAAAGTGAGAGTTGGAACTGTTGGAGATGGTGGGAAATGGGTTTGTAATCCGTGGAAAACGCCGAAGGATAGTGTGTGAGTTTTTTTTTCGAAAATTTAAAATTTTTAATTTTTCCAATTTTCTGAAAATTTAAAATTCAAAATCTTGGGGTATTTTTCCAATTTTTTGAATTTGTAAAATTCAATTTTGTTCATTGAAAGTTTGTGATTTTTTTCTCATTTCCAAAACTTTCAAATGTCATTTTTTGCGTCATTCTTCCAACTTTCGATTTTGGGATATTTTACCAAATTTTTAAATTTCGAAAAAATCAATTTCGGGTCATTTTTCCAACTTTCCAAAAATTCAAAATTTCAAAATTTTGGGGTTTTTCTCCAATTTTTAAAAAATTGAAATACTCAATTTTGGAATATTTCTCTAATTGGAAATTTGGAAATGTTCAAGTTTTTAGGATATTTCTCAAATTTTATAAAAAATGGAATATCTTAAATTTTGGGTTATTCTTCCAATTTTCAATAAATTAAAACATTCACTTTTGGGATATTTTCCAAATTTTAAATAATTTAAAAACTCAGTTTTGGGATGATTTTTCAAAGTTTTCATAAATTGAAATATTCAATTTTTGGAAATCTTTTCAATTTTCGAATTCCAGAATGATCTCCTTGGGTCTAAACAACTTGATCACATTTGAGGAGGAATGGCAGAAAATCACAAATAATGTAAATGTGCTTTATGGATATGATGCGGTAAGTAACTTTAAATAAAACGAAAAATTTCAGTTTATTTCCAGGCTGAGCAATCCGAGGTAACCAAAAAAACATACGCCACAATCCGAGGGACTTCAAAAAAGGCTACGATTTCTGTTGGAACCGATGCTGCAAAATTCAGATACACAATCGAAGATCTCATGAAAGAATCCAATATTACGAATGTGGAAATTCTGAAAATCGATATCGAAGGAGCCGAGCTGACTTGTCTGATTCCGTTTTTGAAAAAATTCCAAGTTTGTCAAATTTATCTGGAGGCACATGGAGGAGCAAAGGAGCATGCGGACCTTCTTCGACAGATTGCTCATCTCAACTACCGTATCTTTTCCTATGAGATCAATGGTTATGCAATGGAAGCTTGCGAGTACAGTTTCATTCATGAATCGTGTGTAGACAAATATGGAGCGATGAGAATAGCGAATTTTTTGGATTTTAAGGCTTAGAAAATGGACCTCGTTGTGTAATAGTTGTTGTTATTATGTGTTTGTAATAAAGTGTTTGATTATAAATAAAAAATTGAAAAATTAAAATTTTGGGTCATTTTTCTAATCTTAAAAATTTTCAATGTCGGGATATTTCTCTAATCTCAAAAAATAGAAAAACTCAATTTACGAAAAAATTTTCCAATTTTCTAAAAATTTCAAATTTGAAAATTTTATTTTTCCAAAATTAAAAAAAATTAACTGATTCAATTTTGGGGGTTTCTAATTTTTGAAAATTGAAAAAAATTCAATATTGGGTAGTTTTTCCAATTTTTTAAAAATTCAAAAATTCAAATTTCGTGTCATTAAAAAAAAATTTTAATTTGAAAATTCAAGAGTTGGATCACTTTAAAACTTTTTGAAATTAAAACCCCAATTAAGGGATACTTTTAAAAAATTTTGAAATCTAAAAATTCAATTTTGGGATAATTTTCAAATTTTTAAAAAATCGAAGTAGTCAAATCTGGCCTAAATTTTTAAAACCTCCAATTTCAAAAATTTTGGTTAATTTTTAGGAATTCGAAAATTCAAATTTGGGATATTTTTTTCGGTTTTTTAAATACTTCCAATTCCTAATTTTGGGATTTTCCCAATTCTCCGAAAATCAGCAAATTCAACTTTTTGGATATTTTTCCATTTTTTTTTTAATTGAAAAATTCAATTTTGTGATTTTTTTTTCCAAATTTTCCAAAAATTCAAACTTTATGTCATTTTACCAAGTTTTTAAAAATTCAAATTGTAATTTTTAACCAGGTCAATTTTATACCAAATCTAGGTGAAACAAGGAATTCGAAAACAAATCGACGAGCTACAATAAAAATATTTATTCGAACGTTGTGATTCATCGTGGAGGTATCATTTAACAACCTCTCAAACAATATTTATTAGGCTAAATTCGCTTCCTTTCCGCCATTTAATTGCGTCCTGCCAACACAGGATCTATCTCGAGTTTGGATAGACGTGTGGCACTTTGCAGAACACTTCCACCTGAAATTCAAAACTACAGTGCTCCACCAATTCCCCTCACTTACCGTGTTATCCGCTCTGTGCGGTTTGCCTTGCAGCGTCTCGTACAAGAAGCTGGTCATCTCGAATCCTTCAAGAACTCCTTTGTTGTTTGGCATCATGCATGTGAAGTAGTCGTCTTCGGCGTCGTAGGTTCCAATGCACTTGTTATAGTTGGCCCCAGGTTTATAGGCCATCAGAACACGATCTCCAAAACGAACTACAAGATTTGACGACTTCTTTCCTTTGAGTCCCAAGTCGTTTGCTCCGTTGAACTTTCGAGGCGATTGTTGTTCGTTGAGTTTGAGGCAGATAGTGTCAAGGCTGTCTGTCTGGCGGAATGTCGTTTTCTTCATGCTGGAATTCGGAATATTGTAAGTTGGGCAGGTTACGGTAGAGTAGGGCAAATTAGGGAAAAAGTGGGAAAAATTAGGGCAAATTTTGAAGCGAGCAGAGAACATAAATTTCCAAAAAACTTGCAATAGGAGGGACCCCACAATTTCAACTTTGAGCCAATTTATCTCGGTTCTTGAAAGATATGGAAAACTTGTCAACTGATAAATTGTTTATCATAATATATTTTTGATATCTTTTACAGGAATCGAAATAATTGAGCTCAAAGTTGACAATGTGAGGGGGGGGGGGGGGGGCTTCTAATGCAGGTTTTACATTAGGGCAAAGTATAACAAAACGGTCAAGGTGAATCTAAGGTCTAAGGTCAAGGCGAAACCCGGACTAACTTGACGAAATCGGCATTCAAGGCAAAGTACTCGTGGTTACACTTGTGGACAACATTGATGCCCTTGAAGGGCATGCATCTTTTCCCTTTCTCCTCTCTGAGTTTCAACAGATAGGTCTCCTCGATTCCCGAGAATGTAAACACGCCGTCAAGGAGCCTGAAAAGAACTAGGTCAAGTCGCGCGGAAAGCGCACCAGCCAGATTCAAATTTTCAAAAAATAGAGCAGCGCGACTTACATGACTCCAATAAGTCCGAAAAGCGGCTCATGGGCGGCTGCCAACGTGTCAACCTCGATCATCGTGTAGTGGTAGCTGGCTTCGGCAGCAGGAACCACTAGCTGGAATTTCGAATTTCCACTTTTTTTTCAGAAGGAAAATAATCCTTACCGGTTTCTTCAACTCAAAATCCTGACTGGCCTCAAACATATTCGCAGCAAATGTGGTGCTGAAAATAGCTACTCCCAAAAGAAGGAAGACACTTTGAATCTTCATTTTTTCTCCTGCGAATGGAACCTTCTTCTTCTTCCGATCACTGATTTTTCTTTGCCTTTCCATGGCTATTTATGCGCTGTTCTTACCAAGATTGAAATGTGGGGTGGCCACGTGTCTAGAGTGGTGGGACGTGGAAGTTCAGGGACCACCACATCACGTTCTAGATTCTCGTGGAAATTCTCAAGAACTTTAAGACACCGGTTTCTCGCCAAGGGTTCAGTACTCTAGTCAGAGATGCATCGAATGAAGACGATTCTTCTATCGGTCTTGTTTTTCGCCACGTCGATCTTTGGGCAGACTACCAATGATGATTTTTTGAAGAAACCGGTGAGATATTGAGCAAGAAATAGAGCATAGGTGGCTTAAGTTTTGCAAGTTGAGCTTTTTAGGCTCTCAAACTTTTTTTACCAAGAAACATCCTGATATTCACCTGATGTGTTTTCTAAACCATTTTAACATGGTGGCCTAACTCTTGGGAGCTTAGTTTTCTAGGCCACCAAACTTTTTAGGCTAGAAATGGCCTGAAGTTCATCTGTGGTGTGTTCCTAAGCCATTCTAACGTGATAGCCTAACTCTTGCAAGTTCAGTTTTCTAGGCCATCATGGTAGAATAGCCTAGATATGGCCTAACATGGCGCTGGGGTGTTTTCTAGAGCATTTTAATATAGTGGCCTAACTTTTGCAAGTTTAGTTCTCTAGGCCACCAAACAGTTTGGCCTAGAAATGGCCTGATATTCACCTGGTGTGTTTTCTAGACCATTTTAACATTGTGGCCTAACTTTTGCAAGCTGAGTTTGGCCACCATGATAAAATGGCCTAGAAATGACCTAACATGGCGCTGGTGTCTTTTGCAAATTGAGTTTTCTCGGCCACTATGATAATTTTTCAGCACGTCCTTCCTAGCGCCGAACGCGCTCTCCACGCTGTCTACCACGAACTTGATAGCAAAATGTCTGGCACTAGAAATCAGCCGATGTTCGGACAACTCTACGTGGCACTCATCGAGGATCAATTCACTTTTGGTGGGGATCTGGACGAGTGGCCAAAGGAGTTGTTCAAAAATAAGAACAGAGGATGCAAGCCGTTCATGGGTGCCAATGTTCATCATATGTGTGATGATGCCTTCTTCTTGGTTCATCAGGATATGGTCAAGTAGGTTTCGAGGGTTGTCAAAAAATACAAAAATCAATTTTAGACTTCAAAAGACGGCTTTTGATTCGAGTGGTGGAATAGATCCGGATCTGAACAAGGTCTGCAACAAAGCTACCAGTGGATTCAACCTCGGAGTTGATAAGGATAATCTGTTGTACAGATACAGTCACAGAATTCCAATGACCTATAAGGGGTACTTTTTTAAAATCCAAAACAAATGCAAAATCTTGAAAATCTTCCAGAAGCGTCTACGAGAACAAGTGCTTCGGAACCTACGACACCCGTACTGACACGTTCACCTGCATGCAGTACAAGGACAACAAGTTGAGACCTTTCGAACTTCAGAACTTTTTGTGGAGCGAGAACGATGGAAAGTACGCACGCGGAAACGGAAATGTCGAGGTGTTTTGCAAACAATTGCACTATACTGGAAACTAAGGATCAGAGATCTTGTAGATTTGAGCTGCTCAATGATAAATGATTTTTTTGATTTTGAATGTGTTTTTATTTGAATACAGTACTCCACAAAGTCATACACAGTATCGGTCAATAATTTTCGACCATTTTGACTTTAGCAGTCTGAAGCCTTTGAAAACTTTCCAAGGGTAAAAAGTTTGCATTCGCAGGGTTTTCTGAAATCAGATTTTTCAGTTATATGATTTTAGATTTTTCAGTTACATGAGATATATGAGATTCTAGAGATTTTTCAGTTATATGCCGCTTTCTGAAAAACACATGTTTTCCACGTTTCCAGTACAAAAATGGACTAAAAAAGGATTTTTTTCAGAAATCAGCAATCAGCTAGAAAACTTAAAAATTTTCAAAAAAAAATTCTTATAACAGAAATCAGCTTTCTAGCTCACTTAAGAGCCGAGATATAGCTCGTTGAAGTTTTGGGGGCTAGGGACGCAGCGTGTCTCGTCGTCTGCGTCTCTAACCTCAGAAACTCTGAATGACCCGTTTCTAGATTCCTAGATGAGCTAGAAAACCGGTTTTTAGACAGAATTGAACGCTTTGAACTGGATTTTCAGATTTTCAGTCGGTGGTCCGCCGATGGTCCGTCGTTGTCCCATTCGAAAGTATTCTAACCGAAATTTGAACCATTTTCAATTATTCATAATTTCAAACAGTGTAGAACCATTCTTAGTCAATATTTCAATTGAAAAACGGTTTAAATTTCGGTTAGAACAGTCCAAAATGCAAAAACGGACAAATGGCGAACCAACAGCGGACCAAGAACAGCTGTGTGGTCCACTTTTACGACCGATTCCAAAATTCACTTTTTCTATTTTTAAACCAACCTACTTCAGCGACCTGGAATTTTTTTAAATTTTTAAATTATTTTTTGAAATAAATTTATTTGGACACACTGCTTAAATAAATGACCAGAACAGGAGTAATTAAAAACTTTCAGACAAAAAAAAAATTCAAAAAAGTGGGCAAGTGTATTTTCTGGGACGTAGATTTTAAGGAGGAATATATTTCTGATTTCTTGTTTCAGGCAAGGATTAGAAAATAGGGAAAGAACGGGGAAGAGACAGGAGGAGGGGCATAAATAGAGATCATTTCGGCAGATAGGTGTGGGCGGAGCCTAAAATGTGCACAAGACTTTTTTAAACAAATAAAATTGGTGACCAGATGGGAAATGGGGGTTTTTGAAAGACATTGAAGTGTTTGTTGTTTTAAAACAAATGAGGTTGGCGCTTACCGTACTAATTTTTTTTTTTTTGAATAAGTAAATTTTGATTCTACCGGTTATGTAAGGGGGTATACATGGGGAAAAGGGTAACAAAAAAGAGGAAAAAAAATCAAACAATAGACTGGACAGTGACCACATTTGGGTTGGGAGCCAATAGGAACGATGGTTGAGAACTTGATGGGGTCTGTGGTGTTGGAAGATTCAGCCCAGCAGCCAGTGATGATAACAAATTGGTATTGAGAAGATAATTGAAGTCAGGGGATTGGAATTGTTGAAGAAGAAGTTGAGTAGATAGAATACTTGAAGACAATGAGCCCAGTGAGCCTGGGGTAGTTGAGAGGAGAGAAGACGTTGGAGATTCTGGAATCTTCCGTGCTGGTGTATGGAACGCCGAAATGGCTTCAGATGGTTGGATGGATGGTGGAGGTTTGGAAGCGGCAAGGGGTCCGAAGTCAGCAGATTTGGCGAGCTGAAAAATTTTTTTATAAAAATGCTATCAGCAGTCCGCTGTTGGTCCGTCGTTGGCCCGTTTCGGCACTTTTGGACCGTTTTCAAATTGAAAAGGGTCTAAATTTTGGTTAGAATTGTTCAAAATGCCAAAACGGGCAAATTGTAGTTTATTATCCTACCTCAACTGGTGTATAGGGAGCATGAGCATTCAACGAGTTGAACACATTCTGCGATGACGTCAGTGGTGGTAGACTGAAGCCCAATGAGGATGGTGTCAAGGTGGCACTTCCCAGAATAGATCCCAATGATGTGACAGGTGCTGAAACGTCTCCACTAGCTTCAAATTTCTGTTTAATTGTTTAATTACCCTGTTGAGCGTAGATATTGACTGGTGGTGGAATCTGATGGTTGGGAAGGGTCAGTGGTGGGTTCGGCAACGGACAAATCTTCATTTCCGTATCTGACTCCGAGTCACTGTTGAGAAGAGGATTCAAATTTTGGTTTTGGATAGCCATTCTCATTCGGATCAAGTTTTTATAAGCTTCGCATTGATCCAGGTGGATTCTAAGGCTGATTGGTTGGACACACGAGGTACCACAGCCTTCGCAGTTATGTCTGTAAATCTGCTTATCCGGTTGTCCATTTCAGGGTCACTTACGGGAAGGAGGTGACATTCTCTGCACTCTCAATTCTCATTTTGTCTAATTTCAACCAATTTTTAAAAGCGTCACATTGATCTTGATGGATGCTCAAGCTCGTTTTCTGGTTGTATGGCTTGCCACACCCTTCACAACTGAATCTGAAACTCTTGATGTAATTAGGGAAGCTAATTAGACACTAATTACCCTGGTTTACTATCTCCTGAATGTTTCCTCATATGAATATACAAACTGCTGGCATATGGATACTTCTTATGGCACAAGGTGCATTCGTAGCTTCCGGTTTGTTCCGGAGCAGCCGGTTGTAAGATATTTGATTCAGAATTTGCTTGTTTATTGGTTAAGTGAGTGGCTTCATGGGCGGTTAGTTGGGATTTCTGGAAATTTACAGAAAAATGAGCGATAGAGCACATTTATCTTTTCTAGGTACCTGAATAAAAGTCCTTGGGCAGAATTGACAAGAGTATGGACGCTCCCCAGTATGGGTTCTCTCATGGGACTGCAAATTTCCCTGGCTTGCAAACGATTTTGGGCAGAATTTGCAAATGTACGGACGTTCTCCAGTATGGGTTCGAACGTGCACCTAGAATAGAAGGCTCTTTATGACAAGGGGGGGGGCCAAGTCAAAAGGGGAGGGGCCCAAAAATTTTTTTGAAGTGACAAATGTTTGTGGAAACATGCGCAAAGTATGAAATTTTTATAGAAACATTCGAAAAACTTTTAAAAATTGGTAAATCTTAACTTAGTCCACATTTTTAC